AGGGCCCATCTGTTGTGTTCCTGATCAGACAGTTGGTAGTAGTAGCTGGGCATAGTTTAGTTCTGGTTGCAGGGGAGATTACATCATGATTTATGTAGACTATTAGCCCTATAGACTAGTTTCTTCTCTGAGTCTTTGTTTTCCTATTTTTCTTGTACAACAGACATGTGGAGATGAATAGCTGTACATTTTATGGCTGCTTGCAAGCTTTTAAAACCCCAGATACCACTCACCAAACTAGAATGTAGAACATTAACTATATGTACTATGTTGAGACAATGGTCCTCAGCCTTCAGACCCCATAAACCAATCCTGTTCAGTATTTGGTTAAATCTAAGAAGAGTTCATGTTTGTGCGTCTATGTGCTTTATTGTATATATGAATATATATGGATAAATATACTTACATATATACACACCTCCATATATATGTCCACATATATCTGCACATACACATATCTATACATATTATATATACATATACATATTATATATGTCCACATATATCTGCACATACACATATCTATACATAGTACTGATGATCCTTTTACTCTTAGTGACTGATTTATGCAGTATACCCTAGGTTACTTCTAGTGAGGACACATGTATCACTTCTTGATGAAAATCAAGAAGATTTTCATCCCTATAATTGTAGGGAGGCTGGGAAGGCAGACTGGCCAATTGGGCTACTTTCTAAGACAGACAGGGAGGAACAGCTAGAGTACAGTCTGAGTGTGGTAGGGAGGAGGGTCCTATGTCAAGAACACAGGCTTGGGGAGTCAGTGAAGCATCAGCGGTCCCAGAGACCGGGTAAGTAGCGTGATCCCCTCCATGATCCCATCAATAAGCTTAGTACACTTAGGAGAAGCTAGGCTATAGTAGATATATTGTTTAAACTTCTGAAGAGAAACATAGCCAGCAAAGATGGGAAAAGAGACTGAGAAGAACATATGTGGGGAAACTGTAGGTATCACAGTTGTTGTATACTGTCAAGTCAGATCCAACTCATAGTGATCCCTCCTTGGGTTTCTGAGGCAGAATTTCTATGGAAGTAGATTGCCCAATCTTCCTTCCAGGGAGTGGCTAGTGGGTTTGAATCACCAGCCTTCTGGTTGGCAGTCAAATGCCTTAGACATTATGCCACCAGAGCTCCCATAGTAGTTGTTAGCTGCCTTCACTTTGGCCCCTGACTCCAGAGAATCCCATGAACAATGGAATGAAATGCTGTCTGTCACCATCCCCATGAGCATTTGTAGATTGGACCATTGTGATCCACAGGGTTTTCACTGTCTGATATTTGAAAGGAGATCACCCAGGCTTTCTTTCTAGTCTGTCTTAGTCTGGAAGTTCCAGACTGGGAGTTGAACATAGTGGGTATCCTGAACAGGAGGTGAGAACTCTACCACTGAATCACCAGTGTCCCTGGATGTCATAGTACAGGCCCTGGATTCTCACAATTGGTATAACTGAGAGTTTTACATAGATCTCCACATGGACACGGAACCCACAAATAGTATCTGTATGTTACAAGCAATTTACGTTTAATAGTTATAAAACTAGAAATAGATTCAAATACTAGCTCTGCTTCTGATATGAAATGACCAAAGCTATAAAATATGTTTGAATAATTTTGCAAAAAGCAAACTTTGGAAGCTTAGATAAGATTTTTTAGCGCTAGGTTGGAAGGAGCTTCTTAAATTAAGCAACTGCTCATCTTTGTATGAATGAGTGGGAATGTGCTAATTGGTTGTATCTGTTTGGAAAAGATTTAGTAGATATGAGAGTGGCAGAAATAAACATTTAAAATGTTATACCAGTTATCTGAATGCCTGCCTCTCTTTTTAGTTGTTTTAACCTTCCTTTTACTGTTTGAATCATTCTGCCAACAATGGGATTAAAAAAATAGGCAGCTGGTTTTAAAGACCTTTATAAATGGAGAATGAGTTCATACTTGTCCTTGGTTCATGGCAGAAGTAATTAGGAGGCCTGTGGGAGGCTCTTTCATTCTTTAACATATTTATACCCAAGGAAACTAGAGAAAAATCCAATTCTGAAATACCTTTTATCTTTTCATTAAGTGATAGTAGTTTAAAAAATATATTAAAAAGTAGGTACTCTGTGACCAAGCCTCAATTTGGAAAAGTACAGATATTTATATGAAGAATAAAGTGAAAACTAGTCAAAGAGAAGTTTGAGATTTAGATGAGATTTTTAAAATTCTATTATTTTTTTTAAGATTAAGCACACTTTTTTTTTTCCTTCCTCCATTTTTGGAGACTTGGAATATATGTAGTTAAATAGGTTTTTGAAATTTTGGCTTAGATACTTAAATTATACCTTATTTGTGGATTTTTTTTTTTTGTTGCTAAAATGTAACCGTGTCTATGTGTCACCATTTCTTAGAGGTGGTAATATCCGGTAGGTTGTGCTGCACATACTGTTTACACTGATAAAAGGCACATGGAGATGGCCAGGTCCCTATATACTAAGGAAGGTGGTAATGGGGAAAAGGAATCCCTGGATGGTACAAACAGTGGCTGTTAAACCAAAGCTTAGAGGTTCGAGTCCACCTAGAGGTACTTCATAAGAAAGCCCTGCCCATCTAGAGAAATCTGCCATTGAAAACCTGTGGAGCACAGTTCTGCTCTAGCACACGCAGGGTCACTGTGGATCAGAGTCAACTCCGCAGCCACTGGTTTTTAATAGTGAAGGAGAGAAGGGGCAACTGGCCTGCTGCTCCCTCTATCTTAATAATTTTTTCTGCTAAAATGCAATTAGAAGGCAAAATTTATTTAGAAATAAATGATCTGTGCAGTATATTTTAGAAAAATCCAGTGACTTTGCAAATACCCATCCTTTATATAAATACTGATAATAGTAGTTGCTTCTGGGCAGGTGAGTTGGGGATAGTGGTGAGAGAGAGATTTACTTGTTATTGTGTATCCACTTAGGTAACTTTTGGCTTATGTGTACCTAATATGTATATATTATATATCAAAAAAGAAAAGAATTCCCCTCTAAGCAGGTCTCCTAACACCTCCCTCCCACTCTGCTACCAAAAGTATTCTATGATTTTCTGTGGTCCCTCTTCCCCCAGTTTCTTTTGCATTTGAAAGAAATGTTTTCTGGATTCTTTGACTATTCTTCCTCATCTCTAATTAATTTTGAAATCCCTACTTCTTTCACTAAAGTCACCAAAGATTTCTTACTGTGAAATGCAGTAACCTCCTTTCAAACCTTATTTGACCTTTCTGGGTCACTTGAGACCTTCATTCACTCTCTTTGCAGCCCCTTCAACACCATTGTTCCTTCGTTCTTTTTCATCCTCTCTCTGTACACCTCCATGAGCATGTTTCTTGTGATGCCACCTTTATCTGTTCTGTGCTTTCTCCATGAGCAATCTAATATATACTCCGGTGAAATCATCTGTGTCAGCATGTCAGCAGCTGTGACCTCTCTCCTAAGCTCTGGACAGGCAAGTTTACTGACCCTAATAGGCGTGTTTAGCTTCTCATTCCACACCAGTTAACCAGTTGCTATGGAGTTGATGCTGATGCATGGTGACCCCATGTGTGTTAGAGTGGAACTGTTTTCAATGGTTGAAGTTTTCTGAAGTAGATCACCAGGCCTTTTTCCTGAGTTGTCTCTGGGTAAACTTGAGCCTCCAACCTTTTGGTTACCAGTCTAGCATGCTAACTTTTTGTACCACCCAGGGACACCCCAAATTTCATGGGCACCTCATCATCAAAATATCTCACCTTGAAATTATCTTGCACTCTCTCACAATCCAAATCCCCCAATTTTCCCACTTACTGTGTTTCCATAGTTAATAGCACCCAAGCCAGAGACTTGAAAATCATCCTAAATTTCTCCCTCCACCTCACAAGGCTTTGGAATACAGCTAAATTTAATGTAACATGCATGTACTGGATGTATTTTCATTGTTACCTTTTATTTTACAAATGAGCTGCTAAATTGGGTAGTGTCATTCCAGATGGACTTGGGAGAAATTTCATGCATATAAATGTTCTGTCCTTATTAAAAGTGGAAGGAAAAAAAAAATCATTTCAATAATTCCTCTGCTTTGACAATTTTGTGTTTATGAGTCCACAGAAACTTCATCTCAGAGGCATTTTTGCATTTGAAACTTGAGTTTGGCTTTTAAATTTGAAACTAAATTAGCAATTACATAGCTTCACAAAGCTAGTGGCTTATTGTTTTGGGATTCATATCATATTCTACTCAATTTCCTATTCAGTCACTTTTTAAAAAAATAGTATCTTCTCCTACAAAATTAAGCCTTTGTTTCTTGTGTATTAAATACAGAGAATCAAGTAACTACTGGATTAAAATAAGAATTAAAATCTATTGCATGCTTATTCTGTGATGGGCATTGAAGTCTCACCACTTTGCAGATATCCTATCGTTTCATTTAATCTACCCAATAATTTGATGCAGAATGGTATATCAGAATGAGAGATACTATTTAACTTGCCCTGATTACACTGCTGTGTGGGCCACTTCTCCTGGTGACCTCTTCTGAGGTACTTTAAATTTACAGTTGAAGTGTGACCTTTATAACCCTGCAAGTATTATAGTTAAGAACTGGATTTATGGGGTCTCCATTTTATTAGGAGTCAATTTCCTCACAGTGTGTGTTTTTCATGTACCAGTGGCCATTTGTGACTGAAGATTTTGCAGTCACTTCAGTGGCATCATCCTGATCATCCATAGCCTTAGGGTGATACGGAAGTAGGTCATGATGATGATGGTACTGAAATTCACATGGACTTGTGTTTTGTAATTTTAATTAAAGAAAGTGGTTTTGCTGCAACCTTCCCAAAATAGTTAATGAGAGATAATTGTTCCACATAAAATATTTTTATTTTATTGTTACTAATATTCTGTTGGCTTATTTGAATATTTGATACCAATAGGAGGGCTGTCATCTGAAGAATATTATGGTGAGTAATTCATATTGTCTCTCTCTTTCTCTCTCAGTGCAATGAAACCTCATTTTTTTTTGAAGCTCGAAGTAAAAGTGCTTGCAAGCATCTCTGGAAATGCAGTGTAGAGCATCATACATTTTTTAGGTATGCTAATATGAAAGTTATTTTTCATTGTCCTAATATATTATAATTGTACTTTTTTTTTAAACCAGAATTCTATTGTTTACACATAGAAAGTTGTGTTTCCCTTTCCTTGTTTTTTTTTCAGCCACCTAATTTTCTGGATTATATTAATATACATGCATAGATGTTAGTTTATGCTATGTAAAAGGGTCAAGGTAGTTTTTAGTTTTAGATTATGTAAAGGAGCACAGCTTTGGCTGGCCCCCAGGGGGTAGTGCTGGAATTAAGTTTCTGCTTTGAACATATTAATTTGAAATACCTATTAGTATCTTCAGTGGAGGTATACAGCAGGCAATTGGGAATAAGAAGCTGAAGTTTACTGGGAGATTGAGGCAGGTGGTGTTAATTGGTATGTATTTAAGATAAAGGGACTGGATGAGGTTACCTGTGGAAAAAAATCAAATGAGAGAAAAGCAGAAAGCCAATGGCCTAATAAGTTTGGAATTCTTCCAATAGTTAGTGAACAGGAGGAGCCAACAGGAGTATGAGAAGGAACAACCAGGAGAGGGCATGGTATCCTGGGAAATAAGTCAGGAAGATGTCTCTATGGTTAGTCAAGTAAGATGAGGGGGCAGAATTGTCCATTAGATCTTGGGGACATTTTTTGTTTGTTCAGTTCACACCTTTAAGTTGTAAAGATAAAACTAATTTTAGCAGAAAATACAGTCTTCTTCTTTTTAATGAAACACTAAATTAAATTATCTTCCTTATTCCTATTTGATTTAAGTGGAACAATTATGGAATCCCTGGGCAGTGCAAATGGTTACTGTACTTTGCTGCTAACCTAAAGGTTGGAGGTTCAAGTCCACCCATACATGCCTCGGAAGAAAGGACTGGCAATCTAAAAAATCAGCCATTGAAAACCCTATGGAGCACAGTTCTACTCTGACACATGTGGGATAGCCATAAGTCAGAACTGGCTCCATGGGAACTGGTGGTGGAACAATTATGCCCAATAGCATGATGCTATTCTTGTAAAATGACTAACACCCTTTATACAATTTGTATTAGGAAAGGGATGTGGCCCAGAAAGCATGAGGCATCACCTCTCCTTTACTGGGATAGGCCAAGGGATTCTATGGTGATGTGCATGGAAGGTGCTCCAGCATGGGAAGTACTGGAGCATATTTTAGAAATAAGAGTAAACGACCACATCAGGCAAATGACTAATTGCCATGGAAATGTTGATAAAAGTCAACCAACATAGTGCCAAAATTCCCAAGATAATTTGAGCAGAGAATAACTAAAGCTTCCTAGGGCATTGATACATAATAGCTTTCAAAAAGTGTGAGGATTTAAATATATAAAATCCCAGATATGATTATATATCAAGTTGTTGTTGTTGTTATGTGCCGTCAAGTCGGCCCTGACTCATAGCGACCCCTCCTTGGGTTGCCAAGGCAGTATCACTACCGAAGTAGATTGCCCAACCCTCCTTCCGAGGAGTGGCTGATGGGTTTGAACTGCCAGCCTTCTGGTTAGCAGTCAAGTGCCTTAGGCACTGTGCTACCAGAGCTCCTATTTCAAGTATTAACTTAAAATAACTGCTTGATAGTTCCTACCAATAAGTAAAATAAATAAAATATTTTCACTAGCTCTGTTAAGCAGTATTACACTATTATTATATTTCCTATATAGCTTTATGCTCAAGTATAACATAACTATCTGCATTTATGAATTTATCTCTAATTGTCTTTTAAAAATTAATTAGAATGCCAGAAAATGAATCAAATTCATTGTCAAGAAAACTCAGCAAGTTTGGATCCATGAGTTATAAGCACCGGTACAGGTAAGTGGCATTTTTTCCTTGATGTGTATATGTATGTGTATGTGTGTATGTATATGTATGTATGGATAAATAAATATTTAATTCCACTATCTACATATGTGCACAATAAAGTTTTTTTTTTGTTATTTTCCACGTGCCAATGTACTTGCTTAACATAATATTTTATTGCAATTTTCTCAACAAAAATTATTTCCCAGATTTAATTATTTTTACTGTCTGCATTTACCATTTTAAGTGTAGGGCTTTTAGAATGTAGCAGAGCTTATGATCGTCAGAAATTCATTTTGGTACGATTTATCACTTATTTCTAATTATTTTCTGTGTTTATATGTTTATGAAACAAGGTAGATGTTCTGAATAGTACCTGATTGTGTTCTTAGGACTTAATTGATCCCCTGCCATAACACAATATACCCTTTATGATGTGGATCAAATCTGCCTCCTGCAGCATTAAGGCTACATATAGTAATGCTAACAATTATGTCTTTATGGAACAGTTACTAAGTGCCATATGCCAGGCTAAGTGCTCTCCACTGATTGTTTCATCTAATCATCACAGACCTTTTGTACTATTATCTCCATTAATGTTTGAAGAAACTAAGGCTCAGAGAGGCCAGGTGACTTTTAGAGGTGACCCAGTTAGGAAGCAATGGAGTGAGATGCACATCCTGTTTCCATAGTCTATGCTTTTAACCATGAGGCAAACTGTTAGCCTGTTGCAGAAGAAGCCTATTGTCATAGAGCTAGGCAGGCGTTTGTGTCTTTAGTACCAGTGTTAAAAGTGGAAGTGAGTTCTATATTCTGGGGAAAAAATTTTTTTTTGGTTTTCTTTTGTATCCATCCATTCTGTTCACAAGATACAAGGTGCCTAGAAACACAGAGAAGGATCAGATTTAAGGGGCTCTGCCTTAGAGAGCTACAGTATTATCAAGGCAGTGAGACACTCACCCAGAACCTGTAAACCCAAGCAGGGTGTGAAAATGCTGTGTAGGAGGTGGAACCACACTGTTCTGTCAGTTCCATTAGAGACATTGTTTAATGAAATGCTTTCCTAGGAGACTTAAAAATAAAGCAGAGTCAAGTGTTGGCAGCACACTAGCATGCCAGATTATAATTCCTCTCTTTTATAACCTAATTTACTTGTCTTGAATTTGAAACAAGAGATAATCAGTAAAAAAGTGATAAATTAAATGTTCAAGGCATTCATCTTTACATATTATTCACTATGATATTGGATCCTTTTATGCTTTAGAAGAAAACCTAAGTTTTACTATCCTATAGATATTCTTGGTATTTGTATGAACGCATTCATACAAATTCATTGTTGTCTAAAAATTTAACTTTCAGGTTATCAAGATGTCTTTCTAGACAGTGATATAATTGTGAAAAGTTTAGGAAAAGATTATTTTTTTTATTGAGTACAGCTAATAGCCAGCATTTGGGCTGTCCTTCCAGATGAGACATAAAACATTTCTAGGTTGATGGAGAGAATATTATCATCGGACTGTGTTGGTGAAAAGACATCTGTCTCAATGCTCATATTATTGAAATTGAAATTACACTGTTTAACATATACCTTAGTTGGCTTCTACAAATTTAGCCATACCTGATTTCTTGAATTTATTGAAATGCAAATATTGTGGTTATCAGGAATTTATTGTCAGAATGTTATTGAATTTTGCATATTAAATATCATTTATTCTAAGAAAGTAATTAAACGTAGTGTTTGCAGAATTTGAGGCTCTGTTAAATCTGTTCTAATTTCATGGCTGGTTGTAACTGGCTAGTAAGTCTTAAAGAAACCTAAATCTATACATATGTATGTAGGAAGCACTAATACACTATCTTTGAAAGAAAGGCATTTCATGTCACTGTCCAGAGCTTGGTTAAGGCAAGGGTGGGTCTCTAACTGTCTGCTTATTGTCGAAAGAGAAAAAAACCACTAACCTTTAAGATGCATCCTATGACTGCCTCAACATTTCCGAGTTATTCTGGAATGAAAGCAGGTGCTTTGGAAACACTGACAGCCTCCTTCTGTGCCATGCAGACTTTTAGAGCATGAAAGTAAAGAACAGGGTAACAAAGTGGCTATGCTGTTTGAACGTGGTTGTCTGAATTTGTGTGTATAATTGTATATGTGTTTATTAAAGGTGTGTGTGTGAGCGTACTTGTCTATGAGTGTTGCATGATGGAGAAGTAGACAGAAAATTCTGCTCTTTACCCTCTTTCCTCCATTTTGGGCTTGGAAAACATCATGGGGATTTTTATATTTTTTTGGGAAAAAGTAGTCATTACTTAAGAAGAGAAAAATCAGACTTTTAAAATTGATATATATGATATCTAATTATTTTTAAAATTCAAAATTAAATTTGTGGAGAAAGACTGAGTTGAAATCTGATCTTTCAATTTTTCATTGTTTTACTGAGCTAATACTCTGAGATAGAGATTAATTAAATCTATGACTGATTAAATATTTTGTTATAACTTGATATCCCTTCTCTGAGTCCCTTAAAATCTTACCTTGCCACTTGTTAAATGTGTAGAAAAGGACCCCTCATGGCATAATAATTAAGGATTTGACTGCTGACTGCAAGGTTTGGCAGTTCCAACTTACCAGCCACTATGTGGGAGAAAAGACTTGGCAGTGTGCTCCCACAAGATGTTAATTTAGGAACCCTATGGGGCAGTTCTACTCTGTCCTATAGAGTTGCTATGAGTTGGAATCGATTCAATAACATACAACAATAACAACAAATGTGTAAGAGATTCCTAGTTTTGATTCATGAATGAATTTTGTAGTATTCATACTCCTGAAATGAGATTAAGGGCTGAGAACCACCTGGGAACCCAGATGTCCTTCTTGTAGGAGTTAAATCACATGAGGGGATTTCACACATCATACATTGTGGAAGGGAAACTAAGGTTTTGTGGGAAACTCCTTTGTGCTTTTATGTGTGTTACTTTAATTAATCTACACAATGACCTGCCAAAGGAAGTATCGTATCCTTGTTTTTATAGATGAGAAATTTGAGGTCCCCAAAGTAAAGTAACTAGACTAAGAACCCTTAACCAGTAAGGGGCAAAGATAGAATTTGAACCCAGGTGTCTGTACTCTTTTTTAAAATGTTTTATTATTGTGTTTTGGGTGCAAATTTATATGTTGTTGTTGTTATGTGCTGTTGAGTTGGCCCCGACTCATAGCGACCCCTCCTTGGGTTGCCGAGGCAGTATCACTATGGAAGTAGATTGCTCAACTTTCCTTCCGAGGAGGCAAATGTACATAGCAAATTTGTTTTACATTCAACAGTTCATGCACATCTGGTTTCATGGTCCTGATTATCATCCCCAACCCTGAAAAAGTCTCCTCCTTTCTCCTCCCCCTGATCACCCCCTCCCTGTGGCCCTCTCATCCATGCATTCCTGTTTGCCCAACCCTCCCTCTATGTGAATGCTACCCCTCTGGTGTCTCATGGCTGCTTGATCCAAGAGGTGTGTCTCCCTAGAGTAGGGTAGATGCATCAACCTGGGGTAGGTATTTTGTATGTGGGTCTTTCTACTTTTGGGCTGAAAGCCAATCCATGTAACTGAGTCTATTTCTAGGCTCAAAGGGTAACTGGGCCCATAGTCTCGAGGGTTCCACCAGCCTCTAGCTGACCAATATTTCTGGTCATTTTTGTGTTTTTGAATTGTGTTCCACATTTTTCTTCCCACTCTATCCAGGATCTTCAGATTTGATCCTTTTCTGAGTGGTTGGCATTGGTAGCCATCTAGTTCTTCTGGCCTCAGGTTGTAGAGGCTGAGGTTTTCGTGGTCCATCTTATCTTTGGACTATTTGTTTCCAGATGACTTTGATTTTCTTCACTCTTCTTTGCTCCAGCCAAGAGGAGACTAATAGTTGTATCTTAAATGGCTGCTCAAAAGCTTTTAAGATCCCAGTCACTACTCACCAAAGTAGATTATAGAACAAGATTTTTATGTACTATGTTGTGCCAGTTGAGCATGATGTCCCCTGAGACTATGGCCCCGAGTCTGCAGGCCTGGTGATTTTCTCTCTCAAGGTGTTTGGTTGTCTCTGCAAAGTTCCTCCCACCCTGTTTTCTGTTGCTTCTGTAATGTATGTAGTTAATCTTTTAGCACAAGTATATATGTAAGATTATCTTCAGCCAAATCTAACCTTGGTTAGGGTGTATTCCTGTTCACCTATCCCCACCTGCTCTTCTCACCTGTCTATGCATTAATCCGTAGCCTGGTGTTTGGTGCTAGTGATAGTGCAGTGCTGTGCCCGTAACAGTGTTTGCCTCTGTTGTCTATATCTTTTGTGTACATTTCAGTGTCTTTCCTTGCCCCAGTGTCATCAGACTCTTTCCATATCATTCCTCCCCTCACCCAAATCAACATGTGACCCCCAAATAGTCTGAGATTTTCTGTCCCATTCCCTCCCATCCCCAGTAACCAACAAAGTCAGTTTCTTTCTCTGAATAAACTTTCCTTGACTTTTTACAATAGTCGGCTCATACAATATTTGTCCTTCTGTGATTGACTTATTTCACTCAGCATAAGTCCTCTAAATTCATCCATGTTTCAAGATGATTCATGTATTCTTTATTTTTCTCTAATGTTGCATAGTATTCCATTGTGTGAATGTACTATAGTTTGGTTATCCATTCATCTATTGATGGGTGTTTAGGTTGTTTCCATCTCTTTGCTATAGTGAATTTTGCTGCATTGAACATGGGTGTGCATGTCTGTTCATGTTCTGTATCTCACCTCTTTAGAATACATTTCTAGTAATGGAATTGCTGGATCAAATAGTATTTCTGTTTTCAGTTTTTTAAGGAAACATTATACTGTTTTCCATAGTGGCTGTACCATTTTACAGTCCCACCAGCAGTTTATGAGAGTTCCAATCTCTCTGCAGCCTCTTCATCATTTGTTATTTTCTGTCTTGCTGAACTTTGCTATTACTTGTGGGGGTAAGATGGTATCTCATTGTTGTTTTGATTTGCATCTTTCTAATGGGTAATGATTGTGATCATTTCCTCATGTGTTTGTTGGCCGCCTGTGTAGCCTCTTTAGTGAAGTGTCTGTTCATGTCCTTTGCTCGTTTTTAAACTGGGTTGTTTGTCTTTTTGGTGTTAAGGTGATAAAGTTTTCTGTAAATTTTGGAGATTAGTCCCTGGTCAGATATGTCATAGCCAAATATTTTTTCCCAATCTGTAGGTTCTCTTTTTACTCTTTGGGATAAGTCTTTAGATGCACATAAGAACTTAATTTTTAAAAGGTCCCAGTCTTCTAGTTTCTCTTCTGCTGCCTGTGAATTTTGGGTTATGCTTGATAGTCTATTTATGCTGTAAATTGTATCTTTGATGATCTTTATAGTTTTGGGTTTTACATTTATGTATTTGATCCTACTTGAGTTTGTTTTTGCGTATGGGGTGAGATATGGGTCTTGTTTCATTTTTCTACAAGTGGCTATCCAGTTTTGCCAGCACTATTTGTTAAAGAGGCTATCTTTCCCCCATTTAATGGGTTTTGGGCAGGTGCCTGTACTCTTGTTCTCTTCCCTTTACCCATTGATTGCTGATTACATCCTCACTTTGAGGCTAAAGGGCTGCTGGCAATGCCTCTCAACATAGGATGTGGAGTGGGAGGAGTGTCAGTGTGTAAGGAGGAAGGGAAGTTAAGATCATGGAAATAAAACTGTCCTGTCACAACAGAGCCACCAGACATGAATAAAAGCAAACAAAAAATCCACCACCATTGAATCAATTCCAACTCATAGTGACCCATATGGACAGAGTACAACTGCCCATAAGTTTTCCAAGGCTGTAAGTGTATATGGAATCAGACTGCCTCATCTTTCTACTGCACAGCAGCTGGTGGATTTGAGTTGCCAACCTTTTGGTTACAAGCTGAATGTTTTAACCACTGCACTCCCAGAGCTCCAGACATGAGTAGGGGACACTTTATACTGTCCATCTCTATAGCTGTCAGAGTTTGTGCCACAACCCTAAGAAATAGTAGGAATAAGTAGAAATGTATTCTAAATGAGGAAAATGAAACTGCAGAAAGTTTGAAAAACAACCTGCTAATGGTCATATAGCTAGAGAATGGCAGAGCTGTGTTTTCAACTGGACCCTGAAATGTACCAAGAGCCCTTTCTCCCTGCTGCCAGGCTCTGCTATGTGACCAGATGGAGGCCAGAAAGCTTGTTCTTGTCCTGGGTTTTGTGCAGCCCGTGGCAGATCAGTTTATGTTTCTGGACCATGATCTTACTAATTTTGTGATGTGATTTTCTCATTTATCCTTTGTTCCTAAGAGAGAAAGTATGAGGAAAAATTTAATAATAAAGTAAAAATCTCATTATAAAAGGCTTCAGTGGTCCACGTATTGGTTTTTATTTTCAGGGCAAATAGTTTTTCCTCAATCAATGGAAGTATATGGTGCTCAAGTCTTTCTGATTATAACAGAGAAAGTCTGTTGTAAGTAGGACTTATTTTCAGACTACAAATTTTACATAATAATGGAATTTTCCTGTCTTTGTGGAAATTTTTTAAGCTTTTCAGAAGAGAGGTACTGCTATTTGTATTATCTTACATACTATCTTTAAAAAAAAGAAAAGAGAGAAGTGTCATATGAAAGAAAACCTGTCATAATTTTCTTTCCTCTGCTGTCCACCTCTTTCTAAGTCTATGAGCTATTGAATATTAAGAAAGAGGAAGAGAGCAGAGGAGAGAAAACTATGACCTGGTGTGAGCTGCCCTGGATGGGATCTGGTATCTTAATTCTCATGGTAACTCATGCAAGTGGTATCCCCAGTTGGCCTTGTGAGAGCCATTTTTTATGAGTGTTTCAAGCATCCTTTGTTTCTAATGAAGCTGGATGGGGCAGTGAGGATAGGAAATGCTCACAGAAGGTGAATGCCCTTAGGAGGTGAATCTCACTTTGTAAGTCTTGTTTAATATGTTTTGGGGAGTGAGTCTATTTACTCTTTAAATGTGGGATGTATAGGATTTGGGGCCTTTAAAGGCTTTTATCCTCCCATAATTGACTGTGCTAGTGGTCAGTCAAAATAGGCATACAGAAATGCTTTTTTCCTGCCCTAACTCATATTTTCTGTGTGAAAGGTTAGGGTCATTCTTTAGTTCAAATTCAGCAAATGTGGAATGAAATTTAAGTAAGCTGAATGTTCACTGAAATCCAGAACATGAAGTTATACTGCTCTTTGGGAGAATTTATTGAGGAAATTAGCCCGGCCCTAGGGAAAGCTTGCCATTTTGAATTTTCACTGAATCTTTGGAGAAGATTCCAAAGAACTGTACACTTTGTGTCAAGTTCTAAGCTACCTTTAAATCTTCCTGGGCACTTTATCTGGCACAGGTAAGGTGGGCATAATCAATGGCTGATTGTGGCACAGAAGTCTCAGAGTAAAATTACATCACATTGAGTGATCCTGTGGGTTTGCTTTACAGCTTGTCATGTAAGTATAGCACAGGAGATAGCACTGTAGAATCACTGCCCTTGTATTAGCCCAACATAATATCTTCTTTAGTTATGGAGCTGGAGGAGACTGTCAGCAACCTCTAGTTCTAGTCCATCATTTCCTTAAATCTAAATCCAAATTCTCCCTGTTTCTTTCTTTGAAAGATCTTCCTTCTGTCTAATCTAAATCTCTCACACTAGAATTTCACACTATTTCCTTGGCCTAGGAAATTGATTGCAATGAGAATCAATATGAATCAAAGTATCCTTACAGCCAGTTGTATCTGGGTCTTTTTTTTCTTCCCCCTCTCTCTAGACTTTGCAGATATTCTGAATGAGCCATTGTTTAATTTGTGGTTGTATGATTTTACCTTTTTTAATCAAAATATTGCATTTTCAAGTGGCAGGACAGCTTTGCAAATGAGCCGAGACCTTTCTATTCAACTACCCCGGCCAGATCAGAATGTGACAAGAAGTCGAAGCAAGACTTATCCTAAGAGAATAGCACAAACCCAGCCAGCTGGTAAGTCATGATCCCCTCTAAATCATCATGTGTAATCTTGCATTTTCTCTTAGGCCGGTAGTATAAGATATGTCCACATGGTGAATATCTTCACCAGTGATACTGCCTTGGAAACCCGAAGAGGGGTCGCTATGAGTTGGGTCCAACTCGATGACACATAACAACAACAGCAACAACTACCCACTGCCACTGAGTCAATTCTGACTTACAGTGGCCCTGCAGGACAGAGTAGACCTGCCCCATATAGCATTTCCAAAGCTGTAATCTTTTTTTTTCTTCAATTTTTTATTGTGATTTGGATGCAAATTTACAAAGCAGATTTGTTTTACTCTCAACAGTTCATGCACATTTGGTTTCATGGCCATGATTACAATCCTCAACCATAAAAAGCTCTCCTCCCTATAACTACCCTTTCACATGACCTTCTTATCTATGTATTCCTGCCTGGCTGGCTTTCCCTCTATGTAAATGCTGCCTTTCTGATGTCTCATGGTTGATTGATCTATGGAGTGCATCTTCCTAGGGTAGGTGGGTGTATCTCTCTCAGGAACGTGTTCTTTTATAGGTCTTTCTACTGTTGGGCTATGAGCCAATCCACTGAAGTGAGTCCATTTATAGGCCCGAAGGATAACCCAGGCCACAGACTTGGAGGTTCCACCAGTCTATATCCAGCCAGTAATTCTGGTCATTTTTGTGTTTTTGAATTTTGTTCCACATTTTTCCTCCCACTTTCTCCAGGATCTCCAATTTTGATCCCTTGGTAGCTGCTGGTAGCCAGGCACCTCTAGTTCTTTTGGTCTCAGGGTCATGAAGGCTGGGGTCTTGGTGGTCCATCATATCTTAGGACTAATTGTTTCTGAGTGACTTTAATGTTCTTCACTCTTTGCTCTAGATGGGAGTAGACCAATAGTTGCATCTTAGATGGGCGCTCAAAAGCTTTAAAGACCTGTGGTAGTTAAGTTTGTGTGTCACCTTGGCTGGGCCTGGTTGGGTGGCTGGGTAGCTGGATGTAGTATTCCCCATGATGAGACTGATAATCAACTCCATTTTGGAATCTACTGTGAGTAGCTGCCTTAGGGATGTGGTCTGCTTCCTGTATATAAGGAGCAGCCTTGAGAAATATGGTCTCTAGCTTATGGCATGCTTGGACCCTGCATGTAGCCGTGTCGTTGTCGAGCAACCTGCCATGCTCTGCTGACCTTGGGACTTACGGTAGACTGCGTGTGGTTTGGTAACATTGGGATTGTGCCTTTTTATTTGTTGACCTTGGGCTTGTTAGCCTCAGCAGCAGTAGCTGCCTGAGTGAAGAGATGCCTCTAAGCTTCAGTGGGCCAGGAGCAAGAGGCAGAGCTGAAGCCCAATGTCGAGGGGCTTTCCCACAGCCCGTAGAGCCTGGCACTTTGAACTTGGACTTAAAACCTCCAAACTGTGAGAGAATAAACTCTTGTTTGTTCAAGCCATCCCATTTATGGTATATTCTTGTCAGAGGGTAACCAGAACAAGACCTAGCTGCTCCTCACCAAAGTAGGATGTAGAACAAGATTTTTGTGTACTATGTTGTGCCAATTGAGCATGATATCCCCTGAAACTATGGTGTTGAGCCCTCAGGCCCAGTGATTCTCTCCCTCAGGGTGTTTAGTTGACTCTCAGAAGCTACTCCAACCTTGTCCTCAATTACTTATGTAATGCATGTGGATAATTCTGTAGCAGAAGTACATATGTAAGATTATCTTCAGCCAAATCTGTCCTTGGTGTTGGGTATACTCCTGTTTGCCTACCCTCACTTGATCTTCTCACCTGTCTGTGCTGCCACTGGTAATGCAGTATTATGCATGTAATAGTTTTTGCCTCTGCTGTCTATATATTTTATGCATGTTTCTGTGTCCTCTCTTTCCCCATTGGTACTGCATTGGTCACACACTCTTGCTATACCACCCTTCCCCTCACCCAAATCAACATGTAACCCCACTAGTCAGAAATTTTCTCTCTCCTTCTCTCCCATCCCTGGTAACCAACAAAGTGAATTTTCTTCCCTGCATAAACCTTTTCCTTTTTACAATAATGGACTCATACAATATTTGTCCTTCTGTTATTTCACTCAGTATAATGTCCTCCAAATTGATCTATGTTGTGAGGTGATTTGTGGATTCTTCATTATTCTTTAATGTTGCGTAGTACTCCATTGTGTGAATGTACCATAGTTTGGTTATCCATTCATCTGTTGATGGGCACTAGGTTGTTCCCATCTCTTTGCTATAGTGAATTGTACTGCTGTGAAATGGGTGTTCACATGTCTGTTCATGTCCTGGATCTCACCTCTTTAGGATGTATTCCTGATTATGTAATTGCTGGATCAAGTGGTATTTCTATTTTCAATTTTTTAAGGAAATGCCATACCATTTTTCTCAGTGGCTATACAATTTTATAGTCCCACCAGCAGTGTGTGAGAGTTCCAAACTCCATCCCCTTGCCAGTATTTTGGTATTTTCTGTCTTGTTGAACTTTGCCATTATTGCTGGAGTGAGATGATATCTAATTGTGGTTTTGACTTGCATCTCTTTAATGGCTAATGATTGTGACCACTTCCTCATGTTTTTGTTGGCCACCTAGATCTCTTCTTTGCCCATTTTTGAACTGGATTGTTTGTGTTTTTGTTGTTGAGGTGTTGAAGTTTTTGATAAATTTTAGAGATAAATTCCTTGTTGGCTATGTCATAGCCAAATATTTTTTGCCAATCTATGGGTTCTCTTATCCTTTTGGAGAAGTCATTTGGAAATTAAATAAGAATTTAATTTTTAAAAGTTCTCAGTGATCTAGTTTCTTTTTTGCTGCTTGTGCATTTTGGGTTATGCTATTTATACCATAAATTAGGGCCTGTAGATTGCGCCTGTTTTATCTTTGATGAACTTTTTGGTTTTGGGATTTACATTTAAGTTTTGATCCCACTTGAGTTAATGTTTTGTGTATGGGGTGAGGTTAAAACTGTAAATCTCTATGAAAGCAGACCACCTCATTTTTCTCCTGCAGAATGGCTGATGAGTTCAAACTACTGACCTTTTGGTTAGCAAACCAGTGCTTTAACCTCTCCACTACCACAGCTCCTTAAATGCAGCTCTCTTGTCTTTCTATTATTGTTGTTGTTATGTGCCGACTCATAGTGACCCCTCCTTGGGTTTCTGAGGCAGTATCACTACAGAAGTAGGTTGCCCAACCTTTTTTAATTTGAACCTATAAATGACTAGTGATCAGTAACTATTAATAGTAAATGATAGCTAACATGAATCATCATAACCTATTTAATGAGTGTTTTGGTTACCTCTAGTGCTGCTCTAACAGAAAATACCACAAGTGCAATGGCTTTAACAGCCAGGAATTTATTCTCTTACAGTTTAGGAGGCTAGAAGTCCAAGTTCAAAGTGCCAGCTCTAGGGGCTGGATGAAAGCCCCTCAACCTTGGGCTTCAGCTCTGCCTCTTGCCCCTGGCCCAGTGGAGCTACAGGTGTCTCTTTACTCAGGCAGGGGCTGGCTGCTAAGGCTAACAAGCCCAGGGTTGACAGACAAACTGGCACAGTCCTAATATCACCAAAAAACATGGCAGCCACTAATTCAAGTCCAGAGACAGACCCAAGATCATCAGGAAATATGGCAGGCTCCTAAATGAAAACTGGGTGACCTGCAGAGTCTAAGCATGCAAAAAAGCTACAGAGACCTTTCTCAAAGCAGCTGCTTATATACTGGAAGCATACCATATCCCTAAGGCAGCTACTCAGCTGCTCCAGTAGAGTCTACCATGGAGTTGATTACCAATCTCATCACAGGGAATAACTACATCCAGCTGCCCAACCACTCAAAACCAGGCCCAGCTAAGTTGACACATAACCTTAACTACCACAATGTGTATACCTTTCTTTTTTTTAATTAGGTGCAAATTTACAGAGCAGAATTTGCTTTACATTCAACATTTTGTGTACATTTGGTTTCACTCCCCAAATACAATCCCCAACCCTAACCCACTCTCCTCCTTTCCCTTCCCAGTACCTGACCATCCCCCCCATGCCTTGTTTAGTTATGCACTTCTGTGTGTCCTGCTTTTCCTCCATGTGAATGTTGCCCCTCTGGTGCCCCATGGCCGATTGCTGCAAGGGATGTATCTCCGTAGAGTATGTGGGTGTATCACCTTGGGTTGTGTGGTCTACATGTACATCTTATTTACTACTGGGCTGAGAGCCAGTCATTGGGAGTGAGTTTTATCCCAGGCCTGAAGTGTATCCCAGGGCCATAGTCTTCGGGGTGCCACCAGACTCCATCTGACCAGTAATTCTGGTCATTATTGTGTTTTTGGATTTTGTTCCATGTCTTTTCCCCCACTCTATCCAGGATCTCTAGTTTTGATCCCTTCCTGAGTGGTTGGCATCAGTAGCTGGGCACCATCTAGTTCTTCTGATCTCGAGGTCCATCATGTCCTAGGGCTGATCGTTTCCAAATGCCCTTGGTTTTTTGCACTATTCTTTGCTTCTGATGATAAGAGACCATTAACTGTGTCTTAGATGGTCCCTCAAAAGCTTTTAAGACCCCAGTTGCTACTTACCAACGTAGGATGTGGAGCAAGATTTTTATGTATTTTGTTGTGCCAATTGAGTCTGGTGTCCCCGAATACTATGGTCTTGAGTCAGTAGATCCAATGGATCTCTTTCCCACAGTGCCTGGCTGTCTATGAGGATTGCTCTGTGTCTGTTGTTTCTATAATGATTGCGGGTATTCTGTATCACTGGTGTCTGTGCAAGATTAGCCTCAGCTGAATCTAACTTTGATCTAGAATATCATCCTGTTTACTGACCTCCTTTCTTTTTGAAGGGGTTAAATAAAATATCAATAAGGAAATTTCCTAGTTACATGTATCTGAGATTAGAGTTAAAACATAACCTTAGCAAAAGTCTAAAAAAGTGGGACACTGCTGATAGAACTTAATATGCACAGAATCTAGATTTTGTTGTTGTTGG